TATATAATCTCAAAATAAAAAGAACAGTCGGATTTATGATCTAGAGTTCTTTATCATTTATTATTAAAAACAGTGCATGATACACAGTAGAGTATAATATTATAATTATTATTTAAAAATATATATTCATCGCAACACAGAAATTACCATGTTTTGAAACCTAATTCTTAAATTAAACTTAAAATTTAAAGTTTGTTTCATTTTCAAGCGATGTTGAATAACTTTAAAAAAAAAAACATTTTTTAAAGTTATTCAACATTGCTACATGTTTTTAAATAATAATAATAATATATTTATATAAAATTTGTCACTTAAGTGATTGGTTACCTTCAGCATCCTGACTCAAGAGTTTTATAGCAAGTTTCCCTCCAGCAATCACTCCATCCACTTGTGAGGGGTATATAAAAGTGGACATTGTTGCTGAGTGTTGACCTCAATGTCCACTTTTATATTTACATACCATTCTTTTGGGTGTATTTTTATGAGGTTTTGACACATTTATCGATGACAATATTTGTAAAATTTATGTTAAGCAGAAAATAATTATAATAAAATTATATGATGAATACAATATAAATACCTTTTTACATATTATTTTTTTAACTTCCCAGTCATCTTAAAAATTTACAATATTTTAAGCACTCTAATATTTTATTAACTTTTAAGTACTTTGGATTTACAGTCTTACTTATAAAGACAGTTGTTGAGGGAATGTTAGAAAATTATCAATAAATTTTAAATTTAGTACAGTTACTACTTTTTTTTCATAAGGTTGTGTATTTACTAATCATACATGGAAAAGCTTACAACAATTCACTGATCCCAAGTATTTTAAAAATAATTTTGAATTTTTTTTATGCATGTATAAACATTTATAAAATTTAGCATGTTTATACATTTAAAAAAAATTCAAAATTATTTTTAAAATACTGGGGATCAGTGAATTGTAGTAATCTTTTCCATTTATGATTAGTAAATATAGTTTTTATTTAATAACAATATCACTCTACTGCTACAAATTAATAAAGAATTTTAAAATTTAAAAGTTTATATATTATTCTAATGAAATTTAAAAAAACCTCTTGTAAAAATTCATTATTCATCTGAAAAGGATTTTTTTTGTAAGACAATACTATTGATAATATTTAATTTGTGAAAGCAATTAACTTTTCTAATTAAATAAAGTCTTAGTTTTATTTAATTTTTTTTTCTATGATTCAGAGCAGATTTTCTGTAACTGTGGGTCCTGTTTACTCCCCCTCCTTCCAAAAAATGTTTATCTATATGTCTGAAATGAGGTATTGTAACTATTTACCCTTTTTACATTGTACAGACTGTTATCCTCATCTTTTCTGTCACATTCATAATGTTTTGACCATTGTAGGCTCCAGCTTTCTTCAGGGTTATTTTTTGAATTTCAAACCGAAATTCCACATACACGTACCATGCCTTTGGATATCTTACTTTTAGTTAATTTGCCTTCATAACTCTTCAAATTTTTGTTCTCTCCACTGATGCCAGAGATTGAACTCGTAGCTCTCACTTTTTAGATCAATTGACCAACACTTGATTTAAATTCTCTGAGGACTTTTCCTTATAACAAATAATTAAGCCCTACAAAAAAGAATTTCTCAAAATGTCATAAATTAAATAAGTGTATGCATGATGGGTGGGATAACAGATGTAAAAAAAAACCAAAACAAATTACCAAGATTTTCTTTAAAAGAAATGTTTCACAAATAATTTTATTGTAAATAAGTCCTGAAAGTTTCACTAAAATCTGACCATTATTTGATTTCTGCAAGAATTTCCAAATCAATGTATTTTCTATTGTGAAAAGACACTCAAATTTCCCATACAAATTTATGGTCCCAAGTTGATGCCAGAAAAACAAGATTTTTAACTAAAGTCTTGAAGGTTCCAAAACTTTTCAAAAACGCAATTTTTACATCCAAAACTCCTTTGATCTTTCCTCCTTAATAATTTTAAAGTTTTTTTTTTTTTTTATTAAGTTTTGGAGATTTTCTTTTTTCATAAGGTATGTTATATTTTGGGTAAAATTGCTCAGTATCTGGGATAACATAAGTATAAAAGTAGACACTGAGGTCAACACCAAGGAGTGATAGCCTGTTTCATGCTTGAATGCAATCTTCAGGCCATCACTCACACTCACACTCACACACACACACACATATATTACATTAAAAATATGTCAAAATCGCTACACAATTGCAATCATGTTTCAATGCGTATCAAGTGCATCTCATCAGACAATTGTAAATTATTGGTGAGTGAATGATTTATTTAGATTTAGTAAAATAACCTTGAAAAAATAAAAGGGGTTTATAATGTGTGTGGGCTTTACTCGGATCAACCAATCGAATATGATCTACATTAAATTTAAACTAAGGGAAGAAGTAAAAATTATTTTCATAAATGGGTCATGACCCATAGATTAGCAGCCCATGGCAGCACATCCATTAAACAGGAGAGGATGTTAATGGATATGTATTTTACACACTAGACAATGTCATTTCCTAAGAAAAATGAGATTGTGTGGTAATTTAACAAAATGTTATATGCTTTGTGAGTTTTTTACATTTTATCTGTGTGTGTGTATAATATATTTATATAAATTTTGTATTCTGTAAGGAACTAAAATAAATTTATTACTAAAAGCAAACAAATTGGTGCAAATAAGGACAAAAAAAGATCCTTTTAAAAGAATGCATTCTGCCATTTTCCAAGCTATATATATATATATATATATATATATATATTCAATCTTTTGTGCATGTCTGATTGAATAAATTACAAACATTATGTCTGCTTATTTTAAGCATAATTCTTTCATATTTACGGATATTTTCAATGTAGTACAATCAAATGATGCACTGTAACAGTGAGAATCACTTTTATTTCCTCAAGTACTTTTCATCTCTTTCTGAGAATATCAGAGGTGCAACTGGTAAAGCAAAAACTGTGTATCTAGCCATTACTGAATTTTTTTCTTTTTGCATTTAAATGCAATAGCTGGCAGTTATGCTTTAACGTTCATTAGAACATGGAAAAATTATCCCCTATGGAATATTTTTTTGTTTTTTATGCTAGAATGTCATGGTCAGGTGCACATTAAAGCATGAAAACTGTTCTTTTTATATGCTTTTTAGAACATTATTACAGTATTCGTAGTTGATTCTATTCAGTGTCAGCTTCAGTTTTTTAATGTAGGTTTCTTCGAGGATCTGTAGTTTTAATTTGTTATTTTCTTGATGTAGGATAGTTATCTATCATTATTTTTCTATACTGTGAATGTGGACAGGAATGTTGGTGTAAATGTCTCGCAATGGACAGTATAGAAAGATACTGATTGATAACAACTTTTTTTATCATCTTTCCTTCAATATTTACTTGATATAGATTAATGCTTACATGAGTTTGCATTTTTGATTGAACATTTCTTTATATAATGAGGAATTATCATTAATTGAATCTGTCATCATAATCTATAAATTGAATTGAACACTTTATCCATTTTGCGTTCTGAGTGCTCTTTTTTTTTTCTTTCTTTTCTCCAAATTTTCTTCTTTCCTCTTTTCCCTCTTTGTTCAACTTCTTGTTTTTTTTATTACTCTTCTCTTGTTTTTTTTTTTATTACTCTTCTCTTGTTTTTTTTTTTATTACTCTTCTCTTGTTTTTTTTATTACTCTTCTCTTGTTTTTTTTATTACTCTTCTCTTGTTTTTTTTTTATTACTCTTCTCTTGTTTTTTTTTTATTACTCTTCTCTTGTTTTTTTTTTTATTACTCTTCTCTTGTTTTTTTTATTACTCTTCTCTTGTTTTTTTTATTACTCTTCTCTTGTTTTTTTTATTACTCTTCTCTTGTTTTTTTATTACTCTTCTCTTGTTTTTTTTATTACTCTTCTCTTGTTTTTTTTTATTACTCTTCTCTTGTTTTTTTTTTATTACTCTTCTCTTGTTTTTTTTTATTACTCTTCTCTTGTTTTTTTTATTACTCTTCTCTTGTTTTTTTTTTATTACTCTTCTCTTGTTTTTTTTTATTACTCTTCTCTTGTTTTTTTTATTACTCTTCTCTTGTTTTTTTTTATTACTCTTCTCTTGTTTTTTTTTATTACTCTTCTCTTGTTTTTTTTTATTACTCTTCTCTTGTTTTTTTTTATTACTCTTTGTTTTTACTCTTCTCTTATCTCTTTTTTTCTCTTTTTTCCTCTTCTCACTTTATATTATTCTTCTTTTTTTTTTTTTTTTTGTAACTTGTTATATTCATTGAAGCAAAATATATGACTTTTTCATTACTGCCAAACTCAGGGATATAATTCATAAATATCAGGGCCCAGATATCTTTTCATGGGCACTTTAATCAACTAGACCAGGTGTATCTTGGATATTCCTGCAAAGTTATTTTAGAAACTCAAGTTTAATATTTGTACTCAAATGGTGGAACTGTGCCAGTCCACATGCTCTGTTAATAGGCACCATACATTGGTTAAATCAATTTTGGTTCTTTTATTGCTCTGAATTCTGGTCATGTTGCAAAGGTTCACTGCAAGAAACAAACAAGCAACATAAGTATGAATAAGACTAGACACTCTTAACTGATCCAAGATAGCTCAAGGCAGAATGAAAACAATCAATTTTCTGGAGTGAATAAAGGGTTTTGTTCAAATACCAAAAATCTTAAGACTGTCATAAATATTATGAATATCAGAACCAAGTTGAGCCTGCTAGGTTGAATAGCAAGGCATATAATGATTAAAAAGTGATTAGAATTTATTGCAAAAACCATTTAGGTATGTTGAAATCAATGGACTATACACAGCCCTCATTTGTCCATTTGTAAAATCCGTGGGTAGCAGTTAATGAGTTTGTAGTAGAAAATAGAAGTTGACTGATCCGGGGCATTGTGGAACAAATGAAATTTTTTTTTATTTATGTCTGGTATATTTTTATTTATTGATTTATTTATTTTTTTTTTTTAGATATTGCCGTGGTGGGACAATGAGGCCACAATATATTCATGAAGAAGACCAAATCCATCCTTATAATACTGAAGAGTGCATAAAAGATTTGATAAACCACAGTTCAGGTAGTGGATCTGGATTGCCACTATTGGTAAGTGCTTACTTTATTGGCTGCTTTGGAAAAGTAGGCAACACTATTAAACAGTTCAGTAAATATTGTCCTGTTAGTAATGCCATTGATTAAAAAAATAAATTAAAAAAAAAACTTGGTAGTTCAAGTTTTGTTATAGAATTTATGAAATTATAAAATAATATCTTGATGCAGGTATTGAATAACAAAAGTACAAATTAATATCTCAAGTTATTTTGTGGTAATCCTGAATTTAAATCTTCTGAACTTCTCTTGATATTTATACACTGCTTCTCTTGTTGTGCATCCGACATTTTTAGTGTCTCTGGGTTGTTTGCACTCACTTCCCCCTATGTCTCTGGGTTGTTTGTACTCCCTCCCCATATACGTCTCTGGGTTGTTTGTACTCCCCCCACTGATACGTCTCTGGGTTGTTTGTACCCCCCCATATACGTCTCTGGGTTGTTTGTACTCCCCCACTGATCGTCTCTGGGTTGTTTGTACTCCCCATATACGTCTCTGGGTTGTTTGTACTCCCCTCCCCATATACGTCTCTGGGTTGTTTGTACTCCCCACTGATACGTCTCTGGGTTGTTTGTACTCCCCCCATATACGTCTCTGGGTTGTTTGTACTCCCCCACTGATACGTCTCTGGGTTGTTTTGTACCCCCCCATATACGTCTCTGGGTTGTTTGTACTCCCCCACTGATCGTCTCTGGGTTGTTTGTACTCCCCCCCATATACGTCTCTGGGTTGTTTGTACTCCCCCCCCATATCGTCTCTGGGTTGTTTGTACTCCCCCACTGATACGTCTCTGGGTTGTTTGTACCCCCCCATATACGTCTCTGGGTTGTTTGTACTCCCCCCCATATACGTCTCTGGGTTGTTTGTACTCCCTCCCCATATCGTCTCTGGGTTGTTTGTACTCCCCCACTGATCGTCTCTGGGTTGTTTGTACCCCCATATACGTCTCTGGGTTGTTTGTACTCCCCCCCACTGATACGTCTCTGGGTTGTTTGTACTCCCCCCATATACGTCTCTGGGTTGTTTGTACTCCCCCCCATATACGTCTCTGGGTTGTTTTGTACTCCCCCCACTGATACGTCTCTGGGTTGTTTGTACTCCCCCACTGATACGTCTCTGGGTTGTTTGTACTCCCCCCCACTGATCGTCTCTGGGTTGTTTGTACTCCCCCCCGTCTGATACGTCTCTGGGTTGTCTGTACTCCCCCCATACGTCTCTGGGTTGTCTGTAGTCCCACCCCCCATACGTCTCTGGGTTGTCTGTACTCCCACCCGCTCCCAAGATTCGTCACTGGGTTGTCTGTACTCCCACCGCTCCCAAGATTCGTCTCTGGGTTGTCTGTACTCCCACCCGCTCCCAAGATTCGTCTCTGGGTTGTCTGTACTCCCCACCGCTCCCAAGATTCGTCTCTGGGTTGTCTGTACTCCCACCCGCTCCCAAGATTCGTCTCTGGGTTGTCTGTACTCCCACCCGCTCCCAAGATTCGTCTCTGGGTTGTCTGTACTCCCACCCGCTCCCAAGATTCGTCTCTGGGTTGTCTGTACTCCCCCCGCTCCCAAGATTCGTCTCTGGGTTGTCTGTACTCCCACCCGCTCCCAAGATTCGTCTCTGGGTTGTCTGTACTCCCACCCGCTCCCAAGATTCGTCTCTGGGTTGTCTGTACTCCCCACCGCTCCCAAGATTCGTCTCTGGGTTGTCTGTACTCCCACCCGCTCCCAAGATTCGTCTCTGGGTTGTCTGTACTCCCCACCCGCTCCCAAGATTCATCTCTGGGTTGTCTGTACTCCCACCCGCTCCCAAGATTCGTCTCTGGGTTGTCTGTACTCCCACCACTCCCAAGATTCGTCTCTGGGTTGTCTGTACTCCCACCCGCTCCCAAGATTCGTCTCTGGGTTGTCTCTGTACTCCCACCCGCTCCCAAGATTCGTCTCTGGGTTGTCTGTACTCCCACCCGCTCCCAAGATTCGTCTCTGGGTTGTCTGTACTCCCACCCGCTCCCAAGATTCGTCTCTGGGTTGTCTGTACTCCCACCCGCTCCCAAGATTCGTCTCTGGGTTGTCTGTACTCCCACCCGCTCCCAAGATTCGTCTCTGGGTTGTCTGTACTCCCACCCGCTCCCAAGATTCGTCTCTGGGTTGATTGCTGCATCTCTCTCTCTCTCTCTCTCTCTCTCTTTCTGTCTCGCCTCTCTCTCATTCTCTCTCTTTCTGTCTGCGCCGTCTCTCATTCTCTCTCTTTCTGTCTGCGCCGTCTCTCATTCTCTCTCTTTCTGTCTGCGCCGTCTCTCATTCTCTCTCTCTCTCTGCCCCATCTCTCTCTCTCTCTGCCCCATCTCTCTCTCTCTCTGCCCCATCTCTCTCTCTCTCTGCCCCATCTCTCTCTCTCTCTGCCCCATCTCTCTCTCTCTCTGCCCCGTCTCTCTCTCTGCCCGTCTCTCTCTCTGCCCGTCTCTCTCTCTGCCCGTCTCTCTCTCTGCCCGTCTCTCTCTCTGCCCCCCTCTCTCTCTCTGCCCGCTCCCGTCTCTCTCTCTTCCCCCGTCTCTCTCTCTCTCTCTTCCTGGCTATCCGTCTCTCTCTCTCTCTCTCTCTCTCTTCTGCTATCCGTCTCTCTCTCTCTCTCTCTCTTTCTGGCTATCCGTCTCTCTCTCTCTCTCTCTCTCTCTTCTGGCTATCAATCTCTCTCTCTCTCTCTCTCTCTTCTGGCTATCCGTCTCTCTCTCTCTCTCTCTCTCTCTTCTGGCTATCCGTCTCTCTCTCTCTCTCTCTCTCTTCTGGCTATCAGTCTCTCTCTCTCTCTCTCTCTCTTCTCTCTCTCCTCTCTCTCTCTCTCTCTCTCTCTTTCTGGCTATCCGTCTCTCTCTCTCTCTCTCTTCTTCTGTCCGTCCGTCTCTCTCTCTCTCTCTTCTGGCTATCCGTCTCTCTCTCTCTCTCTCTTCTGGCTATCCGTCTCTCTCTCTCTCTCTTCTGTCTCTCCCTCTCTCTCTCTCTCTCTCTTCTGTCTGCGCCGTCTCTCATTCTCTCTCTTTCTGTCTGCGCCGTCTCTCATTCTCTCTCTCTCTCTCTGCGCCGTCTCTCATTCTCTCTCTCTCTCTCTCTGCCCCGTCTCTCATTCTCTCTCTCTCTCTCTCTGCCGTCTCTCTCTCTGCCCCGTCTCTCTCTCTCTCTCTCTTCTGGCTATCCGTCTCTCTCTCTCTCTCTCTCTCTTCTGGCTATCCGTCTCTCTCTCTTCTGGCTATCCGTCTCTCTCTCTTCTGGCTATCCATCTCTCTCATAGCTTTCTACATGTTTTTCTACTTCCTTTTTCCTTTCCCTATACTCTACCTACCTTTTCCTCCTCTCATTTAATCTCTTGTCTCTCTATTTTCCTTTACCTGTTTCTCTTGTATTCTCTCTTTCTCTTTCATGTACTCCTTATTTTATTTATTCACTTTTCCTCCATCCTCCTTGCCTTCATTTTCCTTCCAATTGTATCCTTTTCAACTCTTGGCCAATTGTCATGTATATGTTTATCAAAGTTCAAACCAAACCACCTGTGACAAAAACATTCATTGAAATGCTTAGCTACATTGGATTGCTTTTTCACCTGGCTCAGGTGTTTGCAATTCATTTCAGTGCAATCAATTCTTCCTGTCCTCGTTCTCCACCCACCTCATTGAACAAGTCACCGGGTGAAGGGTGGAAACGCAAAAGATACCAATAAGCTCTTTACAAATTCAAAAATACCTGACAAATTTGTAGATGTTTGGCTTGCAAACCAGTCTTTACCTGTATTGCTAAGTTATATAATTACACACCCACAATTCTATTCATTTGTCATAGATTTTATTTTTATGGGAGCTTTAGGTTTCAAGAATAAGTGACAAATAATGGTCAAATATCTGGATATGTGAAACATGGAATGCCCCAACTTTTCACAGTTTGGGACTAAGCTTAAATTGATTGTGGTAATACCCACTCCCTGAATTCCAATTTCCTTTCTGTTGTTGTTTATACCTTGTTTTCTCGGGGTCAAAAATCATAGGCAGAATGCTGTATTTTGAGCCATAGTGAAGTCAGTACTTATTGACCTCAGCATTGATACCAACCACCAGCACAAGTGGAAAATGAACATTTCTCTCACTCAAGAAAATAACCAGAAAATTATTTTATTTGCTCTTTCCTTTAAAGCTGCTTCATTATGTCTTGTGAGATATATATATATATATATATATATATATATATATATATATTAAAAAATGGACAAAGTCCGACAATTTATTTATTAAAGACATTTTTTATGTTTAACATTCTTTTTATAGATACAAGTATTTAAGTAAATGCTCTGTTTATAATAAACAGTATTAAATAACATTTACCGCCTGAATGTCCGAGAAATTTTCATAGAAAATATTCGTCCTTTGACAGGATTCGAACCTGCATCCTATACGGAACCGTCATTTACGCTGACGTGCCTTACCGACCAGCCACAAAGGAGCGTTCGGTAGACAAGGTTGAATTTACTGCTTATAAACTTAAATCTTCCATGAATCTCATACATTCATAACTGCTCTGGCGTATCAAATGTAAACAAATGACGTCATATATTAAGAAATGGACAAAGTCCGACAATTTATTTATTAAAGACATTTTTATGTTTAACGTTCTTTTTTATAGATACAAGTATTTAAGTAAATGCTCTGTTTATAATAAACAGTATTAAACAACATTTACCGGCCTGAATGCCGAAAATTTTCATTTTTAAGTCAAAGGGCGAATATTTTCTATGAAAATTTCTCCAGACATTCAGGCGGTAAATGTTGTTTAATACTGTTTATTATAAACAAACATTTACTTAAATACTTGTATCTATAAAAAAAGAACGCTAAACATAAAATGTCTTTTTATATATATATATATATATATATACACACACACACACAAACTCTCACTGATAGTATAACTCAGTTTCATGCACAACACAATCTTCATGTACTGAGGAGAGATTGACCATTACATAATTTAAATTATATGATTAATAGCTCTGTTATATTACATTGATCACTATTTTATTAACACTCAATATGCAATATCTTGTATTCATTTATACATATATACACACACACACATATACATTATATATTTATTATAAATTAATTGATTTAGAATATGGTTTTTTCCGCTACACAGTTCTAGCCATGTTTCAAAAATGGAAGCTAAAAGCTCAGAATTTAATTTTGTAATTAAAGACATTAGTTCCATTTCATCCTCAAGTGAATATTAATGCTCTGTAAATTTACATTGAGCACTATTGTGTAAAAATAAAAATATCTATAAGAACACCGGATTATAAATCTTACTGTTCTTTTTTTTATTTATATATATATATATATATATATATATATATATATATTTAAATAACATGGACCAAAACTTTTTCAAAGGTATTTATTGGCGATTGGGAATATAAATGAAGACACACTCAATACGGTAAATGAGGAGGGAAAGGTGGAACGTGATTAAAAAGAGAAATTTTAATTACAAGCAATTAAAATTGAACAAGTAGGGGGTGAAAATAACAAGTTCCACAAGAGTATAAAATGGAAAAAAGGTTAAAATGTCTTAAAATAATTGTCAGACTTTGTCCATTTCATAATGTGTGACGTCATTTGTTTACATTTGATATGCCATGAGCAGATATGAATGTACGTGACAGATTCACAGAACATTGAAGTTCAAATACAGTATATTTGACCTTGCTAACCGAACACTCCTCTGTAGCCAAATTGACGGTTCCATATAGGATCCAGGTTCGAATCCTGTCGGAGAAAGAATATTTTCTGTGAAAATTTCTCAGACATTCAAACCGGTAAATGTTGTTTAATATTGTTTGTTATAAACAGAGCATTTACTTAATATTTGTATCTATAAAAAGAATGTATAAACATAAAAATGTCTTCACATATATAATCACTTTAAATGCTATTTTTAGTGGATATCCATATTTGAGTATATGCTCTTTATTTTTTGTATATGGGCCTGAATATTAAAAATATGCACTCTCCAACAGGATTCAAATCTGCGCCCCTCTGAGCAGGGGTCGGAGTGTTAGAGCTGATAGGCTCTGACTGACTGAGCTACAGAGAACTCTTGCTGATCAGGCAAGGTTGAATCATGCCTTTAAGCAAAATCCTTCTCAACATAAACACTCAAAATTTTTATATCTGCTCAGTTTCATATCCAAGTGTAAACTAAGCAATTTTCTAAAGAAGTAGTGAATTTTTATTTATTAATCTGACAGATTTTATCACTTTAAATGTTATTTTTAATGGATTCTTATATTTGAGTAGACACTTCGTTTATTTATCAAACCATATCTTTATTTTTGTCTATAGCTTTGAAATCTTATTAAAGAAAAATATGTGCTCTCTGTTGTAGAGCTCATATCTTTAAAAACATTGTTTTTCTATAAAACATAATTACTTTCTGAAAAAAATTGTCTGTTGCATGTGTGTGACATGTCCCTTAAAAACTTAGATGACGGCTCTCCACAGATTCCTTTTCTTTGTCTGAATTGCCATGCTTTCTTGAGAAAGATAGTGGTGTTGTTTCTTCTTGCTGCCTTTACAGTTTGTAATTCAGTTTTCTTTCTCTTAGACTGGTTTCCACCAAAAGCTGATAGCTGGAGGGAAAAAGAGATGGGTTCATGCCTTTTCCAAGGGAAAGGATTGAAAATAAAGATTTCGGAAGTTTTATTTCAATATTATTCTAAAGTTGATTAATTGAAATTTTTGCTAGAATGTAACATTGAAAACTCAGATAATTTGATTTTTAAATCAAAGGAAACTGAGCCGTTTTCATTTTAGCGGTCAGTCTCATAATCAAGAAAAGAAAGAAAAAAGTTTATTCGTATTATGTTGGAGTTGCTGCTTTTAGAAAAAGTAGGCTGTTTTAAATTGTTTGAGATGTCCTTGTTTGTCGACACACCTGCTCTGAGGTGGGTACTTTGGATGTATCCAGATTTTCTTTCTCCAGTCTCCTTTGCTGTTTAACACCTGAATAAACATGTCTCTGGTGCTGCCTACTTGTATGGATCTCTTTGAATATTACTCGGGGTGGGGGTTACAACACCTCCATCAAACCTTTGTCTTGACCTTTCAACTGGGATCGTGACTGCAATTTGAAAAGACAATTGAGTGGGAGGAAAAGAAAATTCTTTTGTATATTTATTTATTTCTGACCCATGCATTTTTTTTTTTTTTTTTTTTTTAAAGCCAAAAAGCTAAAATGCATAGCTCACAAAAAAAAAAAAAAATCTCTTAACCAAAAACTTTTCCCAGGCAGAGTATTTGATATTTGCATTTTACTCTGTCCTAAAATCCTTGGGCAGTGACTGGTTACCACTCTGTACAATCACTGAAGTTAAGCAACTTTGAGCCTGGTCAGCACTGAAATGGGTTACCACTTAGGAATACCAGGTGCAGTAAGCTTGGATGTGATAAGTTTCATATCACATTGAAACTTAAGCATTGTCGAACCTGATCAGTACCCAGATGGGTGATCACTGTAAGCTTGGATGTGCAAGTAGTATAATGGATAATGGCTTGGAATTGTTAAGAGAGCCGAGTTCCAATTCCCATCGGGTTCATTATATTCACATACACTTAGGAAAGGTATGAATACATCACTTCTCTTTGAGTTAATTAGTTAGACTTGTATCATTAACCCATTATAATCTACAAAAAATACCTTACAATCTAAATATTTTCTGGCTTTAAATAACTTGTAACAGGTCAATAAACAATAAAAAAAAAACAAATCGGCAAATCATGGGCTGTAGTTAGTATAGTTAGTTTAGTTGATGGTTAGTATTGAGTAGTGAGTTTGATCCTAACTGGGTACCCCATACAAAATATTTTCATCTTAAGTAACATTATTTGCAATATTTATTAAGTAAGTTTGACATTATTTGCACTATTTACATTCAAATTATTTTCTTTATTTTTGTTGTTTTTATCACGTTTTAGTCTTTGTGCCCTCTGGCCTTTCTCAGGTGTATACCAAACCACATAATCTGCAGTTAATTCTGTATTGTTGGTTAGAACAGTGGGTTGCAAACCTTTCAGCATCCATATATGGTAGTCTGTATATTTTACACCATTTGCTGAATCTTGACTTTTTGTTCATTTGTTTTTTTTTTCTCTCTATGCAATACACATTTTTTCTATATGCAAATTGTATCAAAGCACAGTGTGCAAATTTTGTGTATTGATCCTAAGGTTTGTATGCATAATCCTGATGTCCATTA